ATCTATGAAGAAGAACTTCTACTTTGTGAGAACCAAGGTGGACCTGGATTTACAAAATGAACAGGAACTTAGACCAGCTATATTTGAAAGAAAACAAGTCTTGGAAGAGATTCGAAACAAATCTCTGAAGCAATTTCAGAAGAATAATATTAAAACACAAATCTTCTTAATTTCTAACAGAGATTTGTCTGAGTTTGATTTCCCAATCCTGATGGACACTCTACTAAAGGATCTCCCTGCTCAGAAGCGCCACACGTTCATGCTTTCCCTGCCCAACATTACTGAGGCAGCCATTGATAGAAAGAGGGACTCTCTAAAGCAAACTATCTGGCTAGAAGCCTTCAAGGCTGGATTTTTTGCAACCTTTCCTATGGTGGGCATCATACAGGACAATGATGTGGAGAAGCTGAAGGCCACCCTACATCAATATCAGGTCCACTTTGGAGTGGATGATGCATCCCTGCAGAGTCTGGCTGAGGATTTACAAGTGCCTGTGGAAGAACTCAAAGCCGTCATTAAGTCTCCCTATTTGTTTGACACTGAAAAGGACCAAACAATAGGGGGAAAGCTTTTGAAATATTTGGAGATTTTAAGTTCAGCTGCTTTAACTCCTCTTGCTGCAAGTCTTTACTTCAGGAAAGTTTTCTGCCTGCAATTTCACTTCCTTGACATAGTGACCAATGATGCTAAAGTTCTGATAAAAGAGGCATATTCCAGAAAGTCTGACTTTCCAATAGTCTAAAATCTTCTGGATGTTGAAATCCAAATTTATGGAGAAACAAAGCACACTGGATGTTGCTAACTGATATGCTGAGTTTCTTTGAGGGCATCTAGCCTTCAATTCAGACTTACCGACTGCATATCCCAATAGCTGGACCAAGGACATGGGATATCTTTGAATACAGGCAGAGCTAAATACCATGCATCCACTTCCAATAAACCATCACATCAGATGATTTTACCTTTGTCATACATTTAATGTAGTTGTCACCCTGACAACTATTTTTATGCATCACATAAGCTCTTTGGAACCCTTTTATGCCTCATCCTCTTCAACCCTGTATGGTTGTTTGTGATACAGCCCGACTTTCCTGCATCTTACAGATCCAAACCGACACACTAACAGCTGATGACCATGATAAGACCACTGACCAACGGCAGAATCATGTCAGTGAGTTTCTACTGTTTTCCTAAAGTAGCCTATTTCCAATCCCCATGTGAAAAACTGAGTGACTTTGTCCTTTACAAAGGCCTGGCCCTATAGGTCCACTGTCTTAGAGACAACCCATTTTGGTTTATGGCTACTGGCAACAGAGACCCTAACAGCAAAATAGCAAGAAATCATATCACCACAGGAATCACAACTGTGATAGTCATAAGAATCCTATTTAGTCATAATCCTTCTTGATAAAGTAACTAAATAAAGTAACTAAATAACATCTATAATCCTATACTGATAGAAGTGGGTAACTCTTGGAAATGTTTCTGATTCTAGACAATTCCTGGCTTTTTGATTGTCATGATGGTGAGAAATTCCTTTAAATTTTGTGTGATACCGAAAGGCACTTAATAAATAAAAAGGTGTTTACTGGTAATGTTGTTCATTGTTGTGTTACCTTCTTTAATGATAATCTTCTTGTCCATGTCCCAGCCTACCAATTTACCTTCCTCAAAATGAAATATAATAAACATTACTTTGGGTAGAAAAGACCGAAAGAGACTCACAGATGAAGGGAGAAATGATTGACTGGTGAAGAGCAGTTTCTCAGTCAGTTTGAGCTGTTGTAATATGGCAGACTGTGAGTATTAAACAATATACATTTATTCCTTACATTTCTGGATACTGGAAGTCCGAGACCCAGGTGCCAGTTTGGTTGGGTCCTTGAGGAGGGCATGATTCCTAGTTGTGTACTCACATGGCCTTTTTTTGGTACATGGGTTTAGAGAGATTCTCTTTTCTCCTTTATAAGGGCCACAATGGAGGGTTGAAGGTGGCAGTATAGCAGCAGGATGCTTTGAGTCGCACAGGGAAAAAAAAATGGCGAATCGATTAGCATAGGGGATACTAACAGGTGGCAGAATCACGAAAAGATAACAGCAGAGTGGCTCAGAAGTTCACAGAGATTGCCTGGGCCCACACCAGGGAAAATCTAATGTTCGCAAAGGGAAAAGCATGGAGACCCAGCTAGGAGACAGCTGCACCCACAGAGAACCAGGTGAGCGGTTGCAAACCCATAGAGATGCAGACATGGATGAATGGGGGAAATTTAGTGAACAGCGCTCGGTGCTCTACGTGGGAAGAAGGAGAAATTCTGGGGATAGGCGGAGAGGTTGAATATGCCAGGATCCCTTGGTGTCTTCCTTCTCCCCACCCAACCAGAGCTGCAGCCAGTGAGGAGACGCCATATTGTTTGTTTACATCCCCAAGCGAGGGAAAATGGCTGCTGCTTGTGCCTCCCACACTCAAACCCAGCAACTACAGGGGCAACCTCACAAAGCTCCAGGAGGTGGAGCTGCGTAATTGCACTTGCTATGGGCTCAGACAAATAGCAGCTCATAGCAGAGGAAAATCAATTTAAAATCAAACCAATCAGAAAAAAAAAAATCAAACCAATCAGAAACCAAACAGAAATGCCAAAGAACAAAGGGAAAATTCTGAATAAAAATAAGGAAGAATCTATGAATTCTCCAATGGAGCAATCTAAATCTTCAATAATGGAGGCTGAAGAAGAAGAAAATGAAATCATGCCAGAAGAAGAATTCAGAAAATTAATAATCAGATTACTTAGAAGCAATCAGAAACAGATTAAAGATCTAAATGAAAAGCACACCCCAGAAATTGGGATTCTAAAAAGAGCCAAAATGAAATATTGGAAATTAGGGGCCAGCACTGAGACCTGGCTGCTCCACTTCCCCTCCAGCTCTCTGCTATGGCCTGGAAAAGCAGTAGAAGATGGCCCAAGTCCTTGGGCCCCTGCAACTGTGTGAGAGACCTGGAGGAAGCTCCTGGCTCCTGGCTTTGGATGGGTGCAGCTCCAGCAGTTGTGGCCAACTGGGGAGTTAACCATCAGATGGAAGACCCCTCTGTGTGTGTGTGTGTGTGTGTGTGTGTGTGTAACTCTGACTTTCAAATGAATAAATAAATCTTAAAAAAAGAAATACTGGAAATGAAAAATTCAATTGACCAAATAAAAAATGCCATGGAATCTCTCAGAAATCGAACAGATGAAACAGAAGAGTGAATATCAAACCTGGAAGACAAATTTCTGGATATAATACAGTCAGATCAAACACAAGAAGAAGAAATTAGAAAATTAAAAATCATGTTTGGAGATTTACAAGATTCTATCAAGCAATGCAATGTACAGATCACAGGAGTCCTGAAGGTGTGGAAAGAGAGAATGAATTAGAAGTCCTTCTTAATGAAATAATATCAGAAAACTTCCACAATAGGCAGATTGAAAAAGACATCCAAATACAAGAAATACACAGAAATCCCAACAGACATGACCAGAAAAGGAATTCACCATGACACATTGTGGCAACACTCAGCTCAGTGAAACACAAAGAACAGATCTAAAATGTGCCAGAGACAAACAACAGATCACATTCAGAGGTAATCCAAATTAGACTCACCCTGGACTTCTCACCACAAACCCTACAGGCAAGGAGACAATGATGAGATATATTCTAAGTCCTAAGAGAAAACAACTGTCAACCCAGAATACTCTACCCTGCAAAAACTGTAATTTATGAATGAAGCAGAAATAAGGATCTTCCACGACAAACAGTAATTGAAAGAATTTATATATTCATGCCCAGCCCTACAACACTGGCTCAATGATGTGCTGCACACAGAAACACAGAAACAGGAATTTCACTACAAAAGAAGACAAATGGAGAAAATGACCCAGCAAAAGTACAAACAAAATCCAAAATGCATAAACAGCTGTATTTAAGGAAACATGACAGGGAAAAGACAGTATTTAACAATAGTCAGACTGAATGTATATGGTCTCAACTCCACAATTAAAAGACACAGACTAGATGAACAGGTTAAAAAAGAAAACCCATCTATCTGCTGCCTTCAAGAAACACAGCTTACCAACAAAGATGCATGCAGACTGAAAGTGAAAGGATGGAGGCCAGTGCCATGGCTCACTAGGCTAATCCTCCGCCTGCGGCGCCGGTACACCGGGTTCTAGTCCCAGTTGGGGTGCCAGATTCTGTCCCGGTTGCTCCTCTTCCAGTCCAGCTCTCTCTTGTGGCCCGGGAAGGCAGTGGAGGATGGCCCAAATGCTTGGGCCCTGCACCCGCATGGGAGACCAGGAGGATGCACCTGGCTCCTGGCTTCGGATCGGTGCAGCACACCAGCTGTAGTGGTCATTTGGGGGGTGAACCAACAGAAAAGGAAGACTTTTCTATCTCTCTCACTGTCTAACACTGCCTGTAAAAAAAAAAAAAGTGAAAGGATGGAAATAGATATTCCATGCTAACAGAAAGCAAAAAAGAGCCAGTATGGCCATCCTAATATCAGACAAAATAGACTTTAACACAAAAACTATTAAAAGAGACAAATAAGGACACTATATAATGATTAAAGGATCAATTCAACATCAAGATATGACTATTATAAAAGTATATATACCTAATTACAGTGTGCCTGGCTATTTGAAAGAATTATTAAGGGATTTTTTTTTTTAATTTTTTTGACAGGCAGAGTGGACAGTGAGAGAGAGAGACAGAGAGAAAGGTCTTCCTTTGCCGTTGGTTCACCCTCCAATGGCCGCCGCGGCCGGCGCACTGCGGCCGGCGCACCGCGCTGATCCGATGGCAGGAGCCAGGAGCCAGGTGCTTTTCCTGGTCTCCCATGGGGTGCAGGGCCCAAGAATCCGGCGCCCTGACCGGGACTAGAACCCGGTGTGCCGGCGCCGCTAGGCGGAGGATTAGCCTAGTGAGCCGCGGCGCCGGCCTATTAAGGGATTTAAAGAAAGGTATCGACTCAAATACTATAGTAACAGGGGACTGCGATACCCCACTTTTGGCACTGGACAGATCAACCAGACAGAAAATCAACAAAGAAACAACAGAGCTAATTGACACTATAGACCAAATAGACCTAGTAGATATCTACAGAGCCTTCTACCCCACAACCACAGAGTACATATATTTCTCCCTGGTGCACAGAACTTTCTCTAGGATTGACCATATGCTATGCCAAAAGAGGAGTCTCAGTAAATTCAAAAAAATTGAAATCATACCATGCATCCTCTCAGACAACAATGCAATGAAGCTGGAAATCAACAACTCAAGAATCGCTGCATCATATGCAAACACATGGAGAATGAACAACATGATTCTGAATGAGCAGTGGGTCATAGAAGAAATCAAATGAGAAATCAAAAAATTTCTAGAAACAAATGAAAATGACAATAGAACATCAAAATTTGTGGGATACAGCAAAAGCAGTGTTAAGAGGAAGGTTTACAGCAATTGGTGTCTACATCAAGAAACTGGAAAGGCACCAAATAAATGAACTCTCCACACACCTCAAGGATCTAGAACAACAACAGCAAACCAAACCCAAATCCAGTAGAAGAACACAAGTCTTCTTCCAACCATGGTGGTACTATGGAGGCACAGCCAGCCTCCAGCATTCCACGAGGACCCTATCCTTCACATCCACATGGAGAAACGTGCACACTGCCTGAGTGAGCACTTGTTGCTGGCTTTCTTTGCAATCCAATGTCTTTGCCATGGTCTTTGTTGGCAGATAAACCCTGCGCTTGGGGATGCTAAGTCAGGTGATCCTACTGCCCTGTTGTGCTCCTCATTCTCACTGGTTCTATTTCTGCAGGTTACACCAATATGGCGGAGTTCTCGTGGTCCCCTCCCACTCTACTATCTGCATCCTTGACCTCGGTTATGTCACATCAGGACTGGGGTGTTTTATCCAAGGATGAGGCTGTGAAGATTGAGAAAGACTTAGAAGATGGGAACTTGCTGAAGGTGGTCTCTGACATGAGGCGGCCTCTGGAGCTGGTGTCCCAGACGCCAGTCAACATCGCGGTGACAGGAGAATCTGGCAATGGCATGTCCACCTTCATCAATGCGCTTCGTGAGATAGGACACGAGGAGGAGGCCTCAGCACCCACGGGGGTGGTCACAACTACCGAAACCCGTGCTGCCTATTCATCCCCCCTGTTTCCAAAGGCTGTGCTGTGGGACCTGCCTGGCACAGGGGTGGCTACTGATACCTTGCAGGAGTATCATGTGGAAATGCAGTTCAGCCAGTACGACCTCTTCATCATCATCGCGTCCCAGCAGTTCAGCATGAATCACGTGATGCTCGCCAAAACCATCGCGGACATGGGAAAGAAGTTCTACATTGTCTGGACCAAGCTGGACCTGGACCTCAGCTCAAGCACCCTCCCAGGGTGTGAGCTACAACAGACCATCAAAAACCACATCTTGAGAAGTCTCCAGAAGCAGCGAGTGTGCGAACCCCCCATATTCCTGGTTTCCAGCCTTAAACCTTCTTCACACGACTTCCCAGGTCTCAGAGACACATTGCAAAGGGACCTGTCCCGAGTCAGATGCGATGGCCCTCTTCAACACCTCATGCATGCCTGCGAGAAGATCATCAGCCACAGAGTGGCCTCCATGCAGTGGAAAATTACTCTACAACCTCTGCAAGGCTTCCTGGGCTTCTGGTATGCAGATGACTTGGCCGAGTGTCTGGAAGCCTACCGATCAGTGTTTGGTGTAAACGGTGAAACTCTCAGGGGGTATGAGCAGAGCAAGAGGAGCACGCTCACAAACTACAGGAGCGTCATGAGGTCCCACGATGTGCAGCGTGTCCGCTGGAGGGACTGGAAACTCTGGGCCATGACCTTTGTAGTCACGAAGATGTTCTTCTTCTGTCTTAGCTTGTGCCCAGGCTTACGCACCTGTGTCATTCCATACTTTAGACAGATGAAACATAGACGCTGCCTCAAGATAGTTGCCGAGGAAACGAAGACAGTCCTGGGTAAAATGCTGAGAGACTCTGTCATGGCCTGCGACACTCAGTGTGGGAAAAAGCTTCCAGCAGATCCAGCAGGCTCTCTCTCAGGTGGCCCTAAGAACTGAGGGGTGGGGGCGTCCTCTTCTCACCGCCCCTAGCTGATAGATTTAGATGAATATTTTCTTCTGTGTTTCAGTGTTACAAATTCCTTAAGAATCGTGATGGGGGCCTGCGCCATGGCGTGGCAGGGAAAGCCACTGTCGGCAGCACTGTCATCCCATTTGGGTGCTGATTTGAGACCTGGCTGCTCCATGTTCAATCCAGCTCCCTACTAATGTACCTGGGAAAGCAGCAGAAGATGTATCAAGTGCTTGAGCCCCTGCATCCACGTTGGAGGCCTGAGGAAGCTCCTGGTTCTTGGCTTCAGTCTGGCCCAGCCCTTGCCATTGCGGCCATTTGGGGAGTGAACCAGCTGATGGAAGATTCTCTCTCTCTCTCTCTCTCTCTCTCTCTCTCTTTCTGCCTCTCCCTTGCAGTAACTCTGCCTTTCAAACAAATAAGTAAGTCTTAAAAAATGATGCATGATGAAAAAATGATGCATGATGAAAAGCACTCATCTCGCTAGCACAAACCATAATGTGCCATTTCTCCGGGGAGGAATTCTGTTGTTGTGCATGAAAGCATTAAGTCAGGTTCTCAGAACCACAGATTGAAATTGTGCCTTCCACTGCAAAGTGCCCTGCATGTCCAAACCAGTGTCTTTCCCACCTCTGACGTCATTAAAGCTGGCATCATTCCTCTTCATAAACCTTGTCATGCTCGCATTTCTTTGTCTCTCTTACTTACAGGACCTAGTGGCACATCCCTGGTGCAGAAGGGCTGGTCATAGTTTTAGGGGGCCGATGGACACTGTGGTTGGATCTGCTCTTTGAACCCCAGCTTAGCTTGCTGCTCCAGAGGCCATTGACCTGCACAGCATTCTCCACCAAGTGCCCTCAATGATCAGTGTTTTTTTTTTATTTATTATTTATTTTTTCAAAGATTTACTTACTTATTCAAAAGGCAGAGTTACAGAAAGAGAGAAGCAGAGACAGAGACAAAGGTGTTCCATCTGCTGGTTCACTCCCCAAATGGACACAACAACCAGATTGGGGTAATCTGAAGCCAGGAGCAAGAAACTTCTTCTAGGTCTCCACGAGGATGCAGAGCCAAGCTCTTGGCCCATCTCCACTGCTCTCCCTGGTGCACCAGCACAGAGCCAGACCAGAAGTGGAGCATCTGGGACTCGAACAAGCACCAACTTGGGATGCCAGTACTGCAGGCTGAGGCTTCGTCTCTCTGTCCCAGCACTGGCCGCACTCATGCTCCTGGGAAAGCAGTGTACTTGGCCCTGCCATCCACATGGGAAACCTGGATGGCATCCCAGGCTCCCAGTGTCAGCCTTGCCCAGCCTTGGTTGTTGCAGACGTCTGATGACTAGACCAGCTGTTAGAAGATCTCTCTGTCTCTTTCTCTCTCTGTAACTCTGCCCTTCAAATATATGAATAAACCAACCAACCAACCAATCAATCTCTTCTTAAAAAAGTGAGTATCAGCGATTACTGTCAGGGTCCTGGCAGGAGGCTCAGCACAACCTCAGCCTGGGTTGTTCCAGGATACTTTAACGAGGAGGACATTTTCAAAGCTGTGGGCAGGATGCCCACAAGACAACCTGTTGACCTCCATGGCAAGCCCTGGGTGCTGTGGTTGTCTTCAGGCGAGAACAGGCAAGTGGAGAGGCAGGTTACTAGAGTCTGAAGACAGGGTCTAGAGAGAGAGGGCTACCTGATGTATTTGGTTGAAGGCAGATCTAAGAGGGGACAGTGCCCGGCACCTGGGATACACTGTGCAAAAGCTACCAGGTGAGACATAAAATACAGACAGGACAGAGGCCTGAGGAGCAGAGAGAGGGACCCATGCCATTGTTTCAGGTGGGAAATGCTCTGAGGAGAGAGACAGATCAGTGATGTAGTCTGTAACTTAGAGTCTGGCTCCTTTCTACTCCTGGGAAGGGAGAGGTATGCCGGATTCCGAAGCCAGAGAGCATTCCCTCCTGAAAGTTCTCTCAGTAGGCTCTTGGCCAATTTTCCCAGGGCTTTCTTGCCATACAGGCTGACGAGATCCAGGCTATGCAGAGTTCAGTAAAGGCAACACTGCAGGGAGCTGGTGCGGTCTGAGCCTCATTTCCACACCTGTGCTGATCAAACAACACATTTGCCAATGTTAGAATGCAGAAAAAGGAGTGCATCATTTCAGCAGTTTACATTTTGTTAGAAACAGCTAAGCAGAAATGACAGCAAGCTAAAAGTGAACTCCTGGTCCAGTTTCTTGCTTTTTTTCATTAAGTTTTAGTAACTGTTTTCAAAGTTTGTATTTACTTAGTTGGAAGTGAGGAGGGATGGAGAGGCGAAGAGGAGGAGTGGGAGAGAGGGGGATAGGGGGAGAGGGGGAGGGAGAGGAAAGAGCGCACAATTTCATTCACTGAGTCACTGCCCAAATATTTGCAACAGTCAGGGATGGGCCCAGGCAATGCAAAGTCTGGAGCCTGTATCTCAGTCCAGATTGCCAATGTGGCTAGCAGGAACCCAAGTCCTTAAATCATCGCCTGCAGTCTCCCAGGACATGCAGTAGCAGGAGGCTGGGTCAGAAGCAGAGGAGGGCCTTGACCTCAGGCCTCCCAAGTGGTGGCTTAACCTGCTGCGCCACACTGCCTACTCTCCTACCTGGTTTGGTGTTAAGTATCATTTCCTATTTGGGTTTATATTTGACTTATCATCTTTTGTAGTGATAACAACACTATGTGAGGGAACTTGAAAAAGTTCATGAAAAATGGAATTCAGAAATTTTGGTGCAAAAAGTTTCAAAATCCATGCAGAGTTTCTCCCATGAACTTTCTGAAGACCATCCATAGAGAAAGATGACAGTAATAATAAAAATGAGTATTGTTTACTACTTAGAAATAAAGTATCACACACTGAGAAACAGCTGAACTACTTGTCCAAATCCACTGCCAGCAGCATCAGAATCAAGGTGTGATTGCTGCTAAAACTGATATTGGATCACTTATGATGCTGGAGCATACTGAGACAGGCAGACTACGAAGATCTCACACGTGACTCATAGGTCTACCTCTGCTTTGGGAGACACAGATGTGTTGCAAAAGAAGGTCCAGTATTTGTCATGCAAAATGTATCTGAATTAAGCCTGAAATTTAAAACAAAAAGGGCACAGGAGGCACTAAAATCTGTTGCCTGGTCGTTACAGCTGCTTGGAGAGAGGATCTCCTTGATTATACAGCCATCTCAGTGAAGGACCACAGGGGCTCTCAGCTGAGCAACGCTATTTCCCTGTGGTTCTCCCAAGAAAAACTATTTGCAAGCATTTTGCCAAATAAGTGATGATGGTTTCTTTTGTGGAATTAGATAGAGTTACAATAAAATCAAGAATGCAAATTTAATGTTAAAAGCAAATATCTCTAATTTTTATTTATGAAATTTGGGAGCTGCAAGGTCAATATTGTAACTTTGGGCTCATCAAGAAAAAGTCATGCAGCCGGTGCTGTGGTGTAGCAGGTAAAGCCGCTGCTTGCAGTGCTGGCATCCTGTATGGGTGGCAGTTTGAGACCTGGCTACTCCCTTTCCAATCCAGCTCTCTGCTATGGTCTGGGAAAGCATTGGAGAATGATCTAAGTCCATGAGCCACAGCACTTGCATGGGAGACCCAGAAGAAGCTCCTGGCTCCTGGGTTTGGATCAGCACAGCTCTGGCCATTTCAGCCATCTGGGGAGTGAACCAGTGGATAGAAGGTTCTCTCTCTCTCTCTCTCTCTCTCTCTCTCTCTCTCTCTGCCTCTCTGTAACTGTGTCTTTCATAAAAACAAATAAATCTTTAAAAAAAGAAAGAAAGGTAGAAAGAAAGAAAGAGTCATGATCACAAAGTAGTCTAATCTCCATCTGAAGGCCCATCTGCTCATAACATCAGCTTGGGCACTAGTATTTTCAACAAATGGATTTGGCTGAGACATTAACATTCAGTCCATTGTAGTGATAGAGGCTTGCATTGTAAAAAAAAAGAAAATTATGAAACAAACAGCTAAGCTTCAAGTTATTAGAATTACTTAATTACTAAGCTTCAAGTAATTAGAAAAAAATCTAAGACTAAAGTTAGCAGAAAGAAGGGAAAAACAAAGATTAAACAGAAACAAGCGATGTGGCCTCTTTTCCTGCTGGCAGCACGGAGGGTGTCGAAGAGAGGAAGGTTCCTGCTGTGCCAGAAATCCTCATTAAACTGGAGGAAATTCACAGAGAAAGAAGTGTGCCCAAAGAAGCTTCGAAAGGCAAGGAGGAAGCTCACCGTTGAAAAAGCTACGCCTCTCACAAGGAATACAGGTGGAGGTACAAAACTGCCTTTTGGAGAGTGAGGATGGCGAGAAAAGCCGGCGACTGCTATGCACCTGCAGGACCCAAACTGGCACTTGTCCTCAGGATCAGAAGTCTCAGTGGTGTGAGCCCCGAGTCAGTATGGGTGGCAGTTTGAGACCTGGCTACTCCCTTTCCAATCCAGCTCTCTGCTATGGTCTGGGAAAGCATTGGAGAATGATCTAAGTCCATGAGCCACAGCACTTGCATGGGAGACCCAAACTGGCACTTGTCCTCAGGATCAGAAGTCTCAGTGGTGTGAGCCCCGAGTCAGAAAGGTGCTGTAGCTCCTTTGCCTCTGCCAGGTCTCCAGAGGCACCTTTGTTGAGCTCAGTAAAATATCAGTTAACACGCTGAGGACTGTGGACCCATCTACTGCACGGGGTACCTGAATCTGAAGTCAGTAGAGAACTAACTTAGAAGTGTGCTCTGGCATAATCAGGAAGAAGTGAACTGCCTTGACAGATAGCTCTGGGACTGCCCCTCATCCTGTGAATGCAACATTGTCTGCATGGAGGATCTGACTGGTGAGATCCATACTGCTGGAGAACAACACTGCCAGGAAGCAAATAACTTCCTGTGGTCCTTCCAATTATCTTCTCCACCAGGTAGGATGAGGAAAAGGACCACCCACTTTGTAGAGGGTGGAGATGCTGGCAACAGAGAAGACCAGGTTAACAAGCTTATTAGAAGGATGGACTAAGGTGTCTCCTATAAGATTTTTGTAATCTGCTCAGGTAATAAACAGCAACTCCTCTCAAACAGAAATGTGCGGTTGTACTGGTGAAATCTGTTAGCCTGCCTCTGCCTTTCCATCACCATTATGGCAAACCTTTTTGTGTGATAAAATGAAAGCAAATGAACCATGCAAAGCCAGGGTCTAGCCTGTATGCTGTGAAAATCATCTCATGATATGTACGTGTTTTCTCCATGAAAAAAGAAATCGTACTGTTTCACCTTCAACTGCACTATGAGTCAAAGTGGACTGATTCTAAGAAAACCTGTCTCAGAAGCTTCTGTACATAATCTGCAGGGAAGGTAACAAAAGTCCCATTTGCCAAGAAAGAAATGTAGCTGCTGAAATTCCATCTCAGGCTTTGGTTGGTCTGTAAACAATCGCGTACATGTGTTGTTTTCCTTTCCCCTTTCCATTTTTTGTTTCTGACTTGTATATTTTGCCACATTTAGGTGAGTTATAACATACTACGAATGTTATGGTGGGAGAATGAGGTTTGTGCCCAAAGGCACATGTTATTTGGGGGCATCTTAAGCACTCACAGCACAGCTACTGGGTAAAAACTTGAACTAGGAGGTCTCTGTATTTTATAAATAACATTCCCTTTTTAAAATCT